CGCTGGGCCACACGCTCTTTGAGCGCGCCCGCGCATTGCCGAACCCCCCCTCCTCCGCTGGCCCATGGACTGACTGGACCTGCCCCTCTTGTACTTGATTTCATTCAAATGCCCATTTGATGGGATTTGTTTTCTCGTTTATTTTTGTTCTATAATGCGCAACTCCCTCCACTTTACGCGCCGATCGGCGTTTGATCAACGCGAAACGAGTTTGGTTTCAACGAAGCGAGGGAGAGGAAGGGGGCGGGATAGAGCGAGCGGGTGTGAGGAGGATGACCGGCTCGGCTCTACGGGGGTGTAGCCTGAATGAAGCACACACTCACACTCACACACACACATTCACACGCAACGGCAGCTGCTGCATGCCACGCATGGCGTATACGTAATGCGTCAAGCACATCTACTCAAAGCCCAGCAGTTGCTGCGCGCCTGTCCTCTGTCTGCCCTTTGCCTGCTTGCTGCCTACTAATTTCAGTGTCAATCGCAAGGATGCGGCAAGGACATGTCGCAAGATCAGATAATCGAATCGATGGGAATCAAATATGAGGCAATATCAAGCTGGAGCCGCGATCGTCGCGCCAGATTAGAATGCGATACGTCTAAGGCACAAAAGATACAAAGATACAAAGATACAACACACACACACACACACACACACACACACACACATGCATTTGACAGCCAAAATGACATTTGAAAGCAAACTCAATAGGGTGAATGCTGCGATTAGAAACTCAGCCCACAGCTCGCGGCAAAAGGTACCAAAAAGGGTGCTTTGCTGGCTGCTATCTGCCCTACTGCCCCGCCCTCTGCCCTCTGCCCCCCCTCGACCATACAAGACAAATTGGCGAATGGTCGCCGCAGCTCAGATCTCAGTTACTTCACATCTTCAATCTGCAATCTTAAAGCGGTTTTTTCCTTTTCTTTGCAAGTGAACAAACATTAGAAAAAAAGGGCAGCCAAATCCTCGCGTATAATTAAAAAATTCCATGGCACAATTTCTAACAGAGGGGGGAGGTAGGCAGGCAGGCAGGCAGGGAGGGAGGGTGGTTGGTTGGTTGACGAGCTGACGGAAATGTGAGAAACTTGTTTAACAATTTGAACAGCCCAAAGGAAATGGAGAAAACGCAAGAGGAGGGCACTAAAAGTATCTAAGGCTCAACGCCAACTCAGGCGACGAAACCTGATTACACGCACACACGTACACACACACGCACACATACAGACACGGCAATAGGATCGTGGCAGTGGCAACCCTTTTCTAAGCAACCTCCCGAGCCATGCCGCGGCATGTTTTCTTTGGCGGATTAAGCGGAAGAGGCTACAGAAAAAGATTTCGAGCTGCTGCCTTTGCCTAAGCTTGTGTGTGTGTGTGTGTGCGTGTGTGTGTGAGCTGCTTTTGCCTTTATGTGTGTTTCTTTTGGTTTCTATTAGAAATTAGTAAATTATTTTTTCCCCCTTTTATTTGCTGTATGTTGCCCTTGCCCTGCGCTGCTCCTGGGCACATCTACATATGTGCAGCGGACGTCGGCGTCGACGTCGACGTTGACGTTGACGCGCAGCTTAGCCGTTGTCGCAACAAGCGGCTTAACGAGCGCGAATATTGCGTATGCGTCAGGGCGTACGCATACAAAAGCTTCGGCCATGAAAGGTTTCAAGCGCCGATCGCTTTATGGGCAAAAGCTTCGGGTACTGAGCTATTGATGAAAGATAAGTAGATCACGGATCGTTGAAAGCTTCTCACTTGAACATGAAAATATCGTTGATCGTGAAGAGGGAAAGCTTTATCAGTGATCTTTGAAAGCTCTTCCGCTCATTCAGAGTTACACTAAGCTTTTGATTAGAAAGATATTTTGTTATATCGAAGATAGACTGACAATCTCTCACAGGAAAAGCTTTATAAGAGATCTTTAAAAGCTCATCCTCTGATTCAAATTTATATTAAGCGTTTGATTTTCTAGATATGTTATATCGAAGATAGACTGAAAAACATTATTCCCGTAATTCAATTTAATGTATATTAAACATTCGATTCGAAAGATATCATGTAATATCGAAGATAGAACGTAAATCTCTAAAAGAAAAAGCTTTGTAAGAATTCTCTAAAAGCTCTTCCCACTAATTCAGTTAGATTTATATTAAACATTATATCGAAGACAGATCGCTTAAAGCTTTTCCATAAAGAAGCCTTTGTTTGAAGTGATTATATTCAAGGAAGTAGATCATAGATTCTTTTAAGTCTCTCACAAGAAAAATATGATTAGAATTTGATTAAGGTAAGGGCGCGTTTATGTTCAAAAGCTTAACCTATAAAAAGCTTTTCTAATCTTTGTGCAATTAATCAAGGATTGACAAAAAACGGAATTTATATGGCCAACACAGAGATTGATTGTGGAAAGGATAGAGATCATTGATCTGAAGAGGTTCCACCAACTGTCTGATCAAGTGAAAGAACTTTAATATGGTAACAGGTACATATATGTATTTGTTGACATGATTAGAAAGTGATCATGGAGTAGGAGATATCAATGGAAGCAATGGAAGTAATTACTTAAATATCAAAGCTGATGGAACAATATGGCAGGGATTTAGGACTGTGATCATTTGATTGAAAAATGATCGCAGTTTGGCTGCAAAGGAATCGTAAGCTTTAAAGCTGAAACTAGTCAAAAGGAGCGATGCCAGTTGGCCAGTTTTGACAAGCACATACACGCATCGTGTGTGTGCGAGTGTGTTGTATAGCTGTTGGGGAGGCTACCCGGAGGAGATACGATCTTTGCCGAGTTGGCTTGGCCGTGTCACACGCACTGTGACAGATCCTGGCGCATTGTGTGTGCCCATCGAGGGGTGTTGCCGCCTTGCGAGGAGGCACTGAACATTGCCCCTGGGCACAGGTTAGCGAGTTAGCTGCTTGCAGCTAGCTGCTCCTTTGCTGGTAGATCCTAGCGCCGCCGCTGCCTCTGTCCCTGGTTCTTGCTGCTGCTGCTGCGGCTGCTGCTGCCATGTGACAATGATAATAGCTGCTCGCTACTCTGCTCTGATCTGATCTGGCTCAGTGTTTACTTACACCACTTGAGCTTAACTCGGCGGCGCGGCCGGAAGTTGATGAGGGTCGAATTCGCTTGAGTTGGGTTTTTTTTTCCTTTTCTACTTCTTGTTTTGGGTTTTGGTTTGTGAGCATCTCAGGGCTCGCCTTTTGGGTCTGAGAGCTTTTTTTGGACTTTTTTTTTTGGATTTGTTTTTTTTTTTTTTTTTGATATGCCCAATTTATCACAGGAAATTAGCTGCTATTTAGCAACGTTGTATGCTCAAAAGAGGGCCAGCGCCTGCGGAGGCTTGCCAGGAAGCGGAAGGTAGGCGGCCAGGCCAAATAGTTGCCGTAGCAGCCTCTCAGGCAGCGGGTGTGCCACACACATATACACACACACACACACACACGCACACACAAAGGCAAGTTTCTTGTTATTTGGCGTGATAATTTGTGCAATTGTGGATTGCTAGCAACGATGAGCTGCTGCTGCTGCTGCTGCCTACCCCCTCTCTCCCCCCACAGCTCCTTGTTGGCCCTACTGGTTTGCTAGATGAGCAAAGGGGGGTTTAGGGTTACGGCTGAGACAACAGACAACAGACAACATTGACAGCGCGTGAGTGAGGCGTAGCTTAAATGTTATGGCGCCATTTTGAAAAGCTTCCAGAGCTGTGTGTGTGTGTGTGAGCGTGTGTGTGTGTGTGTTCTAATACAGGCAATCGAACTAATTGACATGGGCGCGCGCGTTTTTTGGGCCCGCTCTCGCTCTCTCTCTCTCTTGAGATAGCATTGAGTAGATCCCGGTAAAAAAAAGGGAAAGTTATCAAAATATTATTTTAACGAGAAAGAAGGGATATCTTCGTCAGGCCGGAGATTGAATACCCTTGCAGACTGAACCTTTTCAGAAGCATGGTTAAGATATCTTGAAAAGCAAAAAGTCTTTCCATACAAGAAACTACTTGCTGACCGATCGTTCCCATGGCAGCTATATAGATATAGTCTGATCGATCAACTTTTCAGTTTCAGAATTGATTCCAATTTGTACAAATTACAATTTCTGTTAGCCCTATTGTTGCTTTCCCTAAATGTGAATATGTAAATTGAGTATACTTTTGAAAATAATTAAAAGCAAAGCAGAATTTCACATTCAAGGTTTTTCCAGATTGCAAAAATTGCTGAATTTCTGATGTACTGTACCTTGAACTATCGCAAAGCCCAAATAGATATGAAATGTGAATCGAAAATTTTCAAAATTGTTACCTTGTTTCTAACGTATTGAAGGAATACAAATATAATAGGCCTTAGGGGTTGAGTTCCTCTGTTTCTATGCAAAATTTGTCAGCGAGTTTTGAGAGTTAGGGAGCAGAGAGTTTAAGAGCCTTTGGGATTGAGTTGCTCCGTTTCCTATGTTCAATATATATGCTATTCCGATCGTCCTTTTATTGCCATTTAGTCAGAAACAATCGAAGGAGCATACAGCAATAAGGAAAGACAGGAGCTGCTCAATGCGGACAACTAGCATTTGTAGGCAAATATTAGCTTCATGTTTCACCTATGAAACCCCAGTTTATGCTCCGTGTAACGCGAAAAACAAGAAAAGGACAAGGGAAACAAACAATTCTGGTTACAAAATTGAAGAGCTTGGGAGCTGTATTCCTTATAGACACACGCAGATATTTATGTTCAAAGCTACAAAGCTGCACAACAACTACAAAGGGTAGGGGTAGGGGGATATGTGTGGGGGGTGGGGTGTTTACTAAAGACTCTACTAGAAGCTTATACACAAGTAACTACATATGTATGTATATCAGGGGGAGAGAGAGACGACACATGAGATCAAATTACAGAAGGGCGTAGAAAATAATGGTTAATTATGAGGTTTGCGGGGGTTGGGGGGTTGTATTGGGAATTGTTTCTCGCGTTTTATAATTAGATGTAGAAGTAGGGTCGGAAATTGGTTTGGATAAATACCTTGAGGTGCCAGCACCTTCCAATTGCTGCCGATCCAATGGCGGATCGAAGATTTGCTCGCGATCCTCTTTCGATAATTCCAAATCGGCGAATTGATCCAGCTCGGAAGCCATCTTTAAAAGCTGTATTTACTGCTTGTTGCTTCTTCTTTGTTTTTTCTTCTTCTTCTTCTTCTACTACTGCGTCGTATTGCTGCGGCGGCGCGTTTGAGCACTTTTTAATTGGTTGCTTGTTTTAATTAGATTTTCCTTTGTATTTGACTATTCTCTGGGATCGGTTGGGAGGGGGTGTTACTTTTGCAGGGGGGTCGTCTTGTTTAGGTATTTCGACAAAAAAAAAATTATGTATATATATATATATACACGTATATATTGTATAATAGCAAATTATCTTGTAGTTGTTGATCTGGCAACTCTGGAGTCACGTTTCGCCTTAGAAAACACTTGAAATTTTTGGATTTAGTTTAGGGGCTTGTTGGGTTGGTTTTTTTTTTTTTTTTTTGATATATATGTATTCCGGGAAAAGTTTTCGCAGCTTGATTTCGGGTCGTGGAATGCTTCAAAAGGACGTTTCTCTGTTTGAATTTTGGCGCTTAGTTTTTGCATTGACTCATGTCCTTGTTCGTATGGTTTTTTTTTATTCTTTTTTTTTTTTTTTTGATTTGTTTCGTCGTTTGGTTTTTTTCTTGTTTGTTTATCAAACAAATGTTGTTGTATATTTTTTTAACTCGAGAAAAATTGTCGTTTACAGTTGTTTAATTTAGTTATTGTTGTTGCATCTTTTTCAATTATCTTCTCTTGTTTTGCGCGCTCGATTTGTTGTTTTTTGTTTTTTTTTTTGAAACCTTTTGTTTTTTATAGTTTTTTTTTTTTTGTTTTTTTGGATTATTTTTGATGTCTTTTCAGAGAATTTCGAAGAAAAACTGTTGTCCGAATCGAAAAAAAACCCTGTTAAATGCGTCAATTTGGCCAAATTAGGTGAAAACCTGCAACGTAGGAAGAAAGACATAAACATTAATTAAATTTAGTAAGCGGAAAATGCATAAGGTTACATTTAACAGTTAATGATCATCTTACTAAAATGGCAGACAAGCTGGCAAGGCCAGCCACACACTCACACACACACACATACACATACACACAAGTTGCGTCTGAATGCATACAAGTGCGATGGCAGAAAGAAAAACAATGGCCGCTTCGTTAAAGTTCAACGTTGAACCCATTTGACCGCCCCCTACTCCTAGCGCCATTTGCAACTAGCGTGCGAATGAGTGAGAGTGAGTGCCATTGAAGAGCGCAACAGCTGTTACAGCAATCAGCGATCACAGTTAGGCAGGCAGGCAGGCCGGCGAGGAGAGGAGAGGAGAGGCCGGCCGGCCAGCAAGCAAGCAACACGTTGCGACATGTTGCTAACCAAACAGCGAGCAGAGCGACCTGCAAAGCTTTTTAGCATTGCTTTTATCATCAGGCAGGCGCTGGCAGCGACGCCATTGAGTGGGCGCACGCTTCCGTCGACGCGAGAGCGGGCGCCGCATTCGCATTAGAAGAGATTTAAGCAGTGCGTGAAAACAGAAAACAGAGAAACCGAAAGAGAGAAAGAGAGAGCTTTGCTTCTGCTGCTGCCGTCGTCGTCGTCATGTTGACTTTGATCTTGGGCCCTGTATTTGTGTGCGTGCGTTGGTGTTGCTTTTTTGGCAATTGTTTTTGTTGTTGGCATTTTTTGTTTGTGTGGTGAATAAGTAGGCGCAAAGCAAAATCACGCAAGAAGAAGAAACCCAAAAAAAAAAAAAAAAAAGAAAATAAAAATACAATTTACTTCACAAAACGAATACCCAAATATAGTAAAAATCAGTGCTCTAATTTGTTTGTTTGTTGTAAATGCGGTTAGACGCACATTGATTAATGTTTAACTGATTTTTGCTTACTTCGCTGATTGCAGTTGTTGTTGTTTTATATATTTTTATTATTATGTTTTTTTTTTGTTCCCGCCAGCTGCTATGTTTGTTGTAATTTTTGCGCAGATGATGTCAGAGCTCGTTTAAAAACTTTTGTGTTTGTTATTTCTGCGTTGACTTTGTATTTTGCATTTGTTTTTGACTTTGCAGCGAGCGTATGCTTTAATAAACATGCGGTTTCTTTTTGAGAAATTATGTAAAAAAAAAAGACTTGTATTTAATTTGTTTTATTTGCTTCAAATTGTTTGTCACTTGCTCTTCGCAGGCACGACTGAAAAACAGCAACAACAAAAAAAAATAGCGCAAAAAACTAAAAGAAGACAACACAAGCTGTAAAGTTGTGTGCTGTGTAAAAAAAAGGCACACACACACAAAGTGCGGGGCGGCAAACACATATACATATACACACACACACACACACATAAAATATGCCACGAAAAATAGCAGCAGCAACGACATCAAAAAAGCAAAAGCTGCTGCCCGCCCTCTCCTATGCTACCCAGCCCGTCAACTATCCCCGCTGTCCCCGCCAACACGACAACTATTAATTCAATGTTGTGCCTGTTATTGTTGTTGCTGCTGCTGCTGCTAATTATGAAATGTAACAGACAAGTACGAGTTTAACGGTAATCGTATTTCTTTCATTTACAGCTCTGCTAAGTGCACAGTTTTTGGCAAATTGTAATAAGCATTTCTATGCAAGCATTTGCATGTGTATGGGTATGTGTGTGCGTGTGTGTCTGCCTGTGTGTGTTATTGGCTTTGAATGATTTTGCTTCTCTATTTTATGTTCGGTTATGATTTTTTTTTTCGTTTGATTTGAACGTTTTGTGTGCGCGCTCTTTATTTTATTTCGTTTTATTTCATTTTTTCTTTTGCTTGCTTACGTTTAGGAACGAACGAACGAACGAGTGTAGAAGAAACAACAGCAGATCAAGATCACTTTGCGGTTTCTCGAAAATTGAAAATAAAAACTATTTACGAACAAACACAACAGAGGAAAAAAAAACAATGAACGACGGCGGCGACGGACACGTTAATGCATATTTCAACTTTTATTTGCGTTTCTTTCTTTTTTTTTATGCTTTGCCTTAATGCCGAAAATATTCTGCCAATAATGCTTTTTTGACGACCTTCTTTCTGCTGCGGCGTTCCAAATACAAATGACGGAAAGGAATTGGGCTTCCAAATACTAAAATGACCGAGCGACGTGCATGCGGCATTCTGGCGGCAGCCGCAGCGGCGACGGCGACGGCGACTGCGACATCGGCAGCAGTAACAGCAGCAGAGCCCAGAGAGTGTGCGAGGAAAAGAGAGCGACAGAGAAAAAGAGCTCAACGCGCTAGCTAGCGCTGCCTAACAGAGCACAGAGTGCGTAACATTTATCACTTAACAGTTCCACTCAAGTATTTTTCGGCCGCCAACGCTCTGCCGCCTTAGCCGAAATTCCTATGCTTATTACACACACACAAACACAAACAAATACATACATATTCACACAGCGGCAGAAGCAGCAGTCGTAGTGGCAGCGACAACGGCAGCGACAGCATCGACCGCGACCGCAGCCAAGCGAAAGACAGCACACAACAAAAGCAATGTGCGATGTTTTCGTGTTGCCCCTCACTGTGCTGGTGTGTGGTTGTGTGTGTGTGTGTGTGTGTGTGTGTTCGCCGCTTTTGCCGAAATTTAATGAGTGAGTGTGGAATGAGAGAATGAGCACCGCCAATTCAGCAAACCGAGTGAGTCGAAATTTCAACTCAAATTCTTGAACGCAAGATTGATAAAAAGTAAAAGTTCGCAGTAAATAGTTAGAATAAAACAATACATATATGTATATGTATGTATGTACATACTGTAGGTATATGATGTATATACATATGTAAATATGCATATGATATGGAAAATTATTTCTAAAACCCATCAAAGTTATTTTGTTAAGAAGATCGGCCCCACAGTTGAACGCAAAAGTCTAAACTCAGACCGCGGCTTAGAACTCTGACTCAGACTCAAGACTGTTGACGCTGAGTTGGATACGGGATTCAGAGCCGAATTGTGACTCAAAAAGCAGCCTGGAACTGGAACCGGGAGCTTTGGCCACGTTCACAGCCGTATTGGGAATAGAGTGTGACTGTGTTGTGTGTGTGCGCGCGTGTATGTGTGTGTGTGTGTGTGTGTGCTTGTGTGAGTAAGCAGATGCCAGGATAATGTTGCGCTGCGTCGCCGTCGACGTTGGCGTTGCCAAAAATTGAATGCGGCGACGACGGCGACGACGACGACGACGATGACGACGACGACGACGATGGCGGCGCTTAAGCGCTTAAAGGAAGAAGGAAGCAGAAAAGGAAGTGAACTGCGAACACTCTGCTCTGGGCTGTTAGCACCGAAGGCAAAATGAAGCGCAAATATATGTACATATGTACGTATGTACGTACATACATATTTACAAGATACATATGTACATATGTATGTGTCCGCGATGTGCAAACAGCAAATGAGATAAAATGAAGTATGTCCCTGGTCGAGTGTATTCGACGGCCAGATATTCCCAAAAATACGTTGCCTACGTGAGTGTTAATTCAAATCGAAGGATAACGAATGGAAAGCTTTTAGACTGAAAGTCTGAAGGCTCAAGGACCAAGTTGCAGCAAATGAAGTATACGCGCTGATACACACTGCCTGAGCTGGCAACAGGGTATCCCCTGTATCGAATGCGTCGAATGGGAAGGCCAACAAATCCATGTGAGTCCTGAAGACAGCTCAGCAGCAGCAGCAGGCGCAACCTCAAGAGATTATCTACACACACACACACACATGCACACACACACGCACACACACGCACACTCGCACATTTATATTAATTGATGAGTTATTGAATTGTTTGTCCTAGCTGCGGGCATTGCAGTAAAAATGACATTGACAAGTTAAGCAACTAAAACTATATTTAATTAAGCTCAAGATCCTTCGAGCATTTCAAGAACTCACAGCACCAAAAGTTGTGCTTTTGTTTAAATAAAAACAAAAGCTTGTAAAACATTAATTAATAAGCTAAGTTTTAAATTGTTATAATTGTTTTTTTTTGTTTTTATTATTATTTTTTGCACAAAGAGAATCAGGCTAAAATGAAAGAACTTAAGCAGATGTTCGCAATGCTAGAGGAATGACACGAATTCGATGGGTTACAATTTTCAGAGTGACTTAAGGCTTAGGCTATCTAGCTAACTAAACCTAAATCTAAGCAACTAAATCTAGTTGCATTCACGCAGGGAAAAGGCAGCTGCTTAACTGAGAATTTCATAAGGAAAGCAAGTCAGACGAGAGTGAAGGCAAGGACAAAGCAGTCCTTACGGATGGAAAATGAAGCTCATGTTAAGTATTTGATATATTTACATAAGATTGCGATTGGAACTGAAGCTTTGATCATTATCCCTTTACTTGGACTCTCTACAAAAAAGGCAAGCAGCTGGCAGATTCCTATTATCATTCCCATTCGCATTATCTCTTCGCTGTGGAGCATTAGATTTAGTATAAACTTCATAAAACGATGCGAAGCCTTAAGAAAACCAACTCGAAAATCGATTTCAAAAAAGTCTTTAATTTCAAAAGCAGCTGTTTTATTTCTTATAAGTCAAATCGATTCTATATAAGCAATACGTAATGGTTCAGATAGTTAGCAATATGAGAAACCAACTAAGAGTTCAGTTAAATCGTATCTATGTATGCAACTAGTTGTGCTTCTACACTGCAAGGAATGCTCCTAAAACAGGTATAAATATAAATATAATATGGCTTGAAGTTTTTGGAATAATAAGAATTTAATGCTTGAATTTGCCGAATTCAGGCTCTTAAGTTTAAATATAAATATAAATAGAATCTAGATTGATTTTCTTAGAATTATTTTGTATTTTAAAAGAAAGTATTTAAATCAAGATATATACCTAATTAATATCGATCAAATTGTGTTGATTTGCTTTAAGTATTTTGTATTATTAACAAGAGGAAAACAAGTAAGAGGAGCTCCCGACTAGGGGATA